AGAAGCTACTAGTAGCTCCTGGCATTACTACTAGTAGCAAGAAGCTAATGGTAGCTCCTGGCATTACTACTAGATACTACTAGTAGCAATTGTGGGTTTTTCCTCCCCGAAGCTCGCTCCGCCCAAATGGTGTTTCTTCTCGTTTGTGTTCTCTCCGTGAGGCCCAGGCATGGACGCAGCCACAAAGTCAGTGGTCAAACAGCACTCCATGGGAGGGCCAAAGCACTGCGTCCAGGCAGGGCTTATTTGGACCGGGGCCAATAGAGAGGTCCAAAAGAGGGGCTGAAGGGCGATGTTCCTTGCGCTGTCCAGGTGGCCTGAGTCCTCCATGATGATGACTCAAGTGAAGATGCCTGGACAAGCGCAAGCTGCCACCTCCCAAGAGTGCAGCCGGTCGGGTAGATTCGGTGCAGATAGATTCGTGCGCTTGTCCAGGCCACAGCACCAGCGCAGGTGCTCGGGAAGAGTCAAAGCTCCGATGCAGGGACTGTTGCGAGGTACAAACGAACATACTGTTCGCATTTGTAAAGTGAAGTCGTAGCTTTCAACATGGATAGCTTGACTCACATGACTAGTTGACAAGGCACAGACTACAGCTGACTGGGTAATTATGGGTGCCCGTGAAGATGTTGCCTCGGTGTGCCTTGCAAGGGTTTTCAATGTAAGGAAAAGCAATGCTGCGTCACTGTTACTGTGGCTTCATTCCTAGAAGAAAGAAGGACGAACAGTTGAAGTCAGATGGTAAAGGAGTACAGTTTGAGTAAAGGAGCAGTCCGTGGCCAGATCTCCAAGCCAAAGGGGGGGCCACGGGACGGCATGTGATGGTTCAAGCGCTGGTGCCAGGCTTGTCAAAGTAGCCTGGGCTCGCCTTGTGGGCTCGGACAGGAGCCCAAAGGAGGCGAGGGACTGAGGGACCGAGGGACGGAGGGTTCGGAGGGTTCGGAGGGGTTCGGAGGGGTTCTGGTTAGGCGAGACGGAGTTTCCCAGATTTTCCCATGTCTCTTGGTACCAGTTTAGGGAACGAAGGTGGCTGCACCTACAAATTGGAAGGGGTCCAACAAGAACCGAAGGCATGCTTTTGGGACTTGTTTCACTTGCGAGTTCGTATGTTATAGGGTCCTTTGGTTCTCTCAAAGTGAGTCTGAGAAAGTTTCATGTGGTCCTTTCAGACTTCCCCTCCTTTTCGCAAACGTTGCTTTCCCTTCGGACACGACAACTCTGGTTACAGCGGAGGCAAATGGGAGACCATTCGATTTGACACTTGATGCTACTGGACTTCTTGAATGAATTCGAGGCAGAATGTTGGATCTCCCAGATTCTATCAATACCTGTCTACCTTCGGAGGGCTTCATCAAGCGCCACTAAGAGCCCAGCCTCGTGTTAAAGAACAACATCTTTGGTGGCCTGAAGGGAAGAGCGGCTCTTTTCGGAGATCGATGATTGGGCATACCGAAAAGGGCACCAAAAAGGGGCCTCTGGCCACAGCACACCGAAAGGGCTCGGCTTTCGTCCCGTCGCCTGTCCCCTCGACCGACCGATGCAGGTGACGAGGTGACGGAGCTTCGCCTGGCGGAGTGCGGCCGCCCGGAATCCGCGGAGGGGCTCTCTGCGGAGGGCATCTCCCGGGGGCTGGTCCGGATGCTTGGGGGGGTTTTGGGTGGGACTTCGGATGGTTCTTTTGTTCGGGGGGAGTGAGGTTACGCATGTTTTCCAAGCCGTGAGTGAGTTAGTGAGTGAGCCGTGTGCGTACTTTGGAGAAGTGTGCACCCACCGGTGCATGAGCCGTGCCACGGCGGCCAGGCTCAAGCGCCTCATAGACCGAGATGCTCAGGCCTTGCGCAGCAATCCCAAAGCTGTTCTGCAGGAGGGCCGGGTCGAGCGATGGTGGAGGGATGTGAAAGGAATCGAAGTCTGAAAGCAGGGCCCAGCTGGCACAATTGGTATTCAAAGTCATTCGAACAAGATGACCACCTTCAGATCATGCTAAGGCGGTTGGAGTCAAATTCTGAGACGTTTTGTCAGGAGCAGGTGGAGTCGAGCGAAAGTACCGTTGGCACAAGCCATGCAGCCGAACCCTCTGAGGTGAGACAAAGCAAGTTGTCAACACTTGTTTTGGGCCTATGCTCTCCTTTCCTGTCGATCAGAGAAGTAGTGATACGGGCTGGAGACTGCCCAAGATCTCTTCAACATCCCGATGGGATTTGCATACTTTCACAAAGCTTGGACGTTGTTTCAACGACATACAGTAGATTCTTTTTCGTTTGACTTTGCATGGAGTGATGTTTTTTTTTTTTTTTTAAATGGGGTGCGTTGCCCGAAGGCATGTCCCGTCTTGCAGCAAGACGCACCAGAGATCACCGGTGAGGTGAAGGTGAGAGAGGGCCTTTGTCCTGATCACTAAAAGCAAGAGGGATTCTTACTTCCGTGGTGGGCGGCACTTTGCATGTGGGGAGGAAAGACTCTTAGTTGTACAAACAGCGGCTGGCTAAGATGTTGAAGATACTCGCACCGCAATCATACGATTACCATCTCCTTTGCAGCCTTTGCATTTACAACCTTGGAATCAGGTTTTGATCGCACCCGTCCGCCTGGGAACCCCGAAGCATCCTGAAGCCGAACTCCAGGCAATCGGTGCCACATGCTTGTTGCCACACCGAAACCCCTTTCTGGGCTTCCATTCTCCTTGTTCGATGGCATTTTTCTTCTTTCGTCCATCCGCTCGATGTCGTTGATCCACACCCCGGAAAAGCGCACCCGGCCGGAAACACGGCGGAACGGACGGTTCAGAACCGGAGACGAAGACCTGGCCACACGAACCGCCAGGTCCACCGCGTTTTGGTGGCCTTTGAGCCGAAGAGCCGCCAGTCCGGTGAGATGCCCTTGAGGGCCGACGAGGAGGCGGAAAGACGTGGTGAAGATGCGGAGTCAAATGGAGTCAACTCTTAGGGCCTTAGGGCATCCTTTCTAATAGCGATGGCCTCCAACCTGGAAGCAATGGTCTCCACCCTACTATCGATGTCCTCCAACCTTTGTAACTATATTTGAACTCTTGGAGAGTTCACCTTGGGCCTAAGGACATTGTCGGGTGCCAGGAGGTGGCAGGCGGAAGGTTGACGAATGTGTTTCCCTCTCCAACCTGAGTCCTTTGGATGGGAAGCACGTGCGGCACAGCAAGCCAGCGTGGACTCGAGGAAGTCAGATTTTGTAGGTGTCCAGATTCGGTCCCCAAAGAAGTATTGTTTTCACGGCATAGATTGCTGGACTCAAAAAGAGTAGAGAAATACAGGACTCAATGAACTAACATGGGTGTCAGTGGCTATAGAGAGCACTGCGATGTTGGGGATTGGTGTGAGCATGTTTGTCAGGTCACCGTGCGCTATCCTCCAACTGAGGACTGGTCTTGGGAGTAGCACAGCTCACCATGTGCGGGTTGGGATAAGATGGGATAAGCCTGTCCGGAAGTTACTCAAATCCGTGGTGCATGACGTTGGATGTGCTGTGTTCTTCTTTGCTGTGCTGCTTGCTCACATGAAAGAAGAGACTAGAATTGGCTGAGTTGAATCATGTTGAATCCAAGCATACCGAGTCTGCAATTAGACCGAGAAGACATGTCCTGAGCGCCAGCCC